TGTGAGAGTGTGTGTGTGTGTGTGTGTGTGAGAGAGAGAGAGAGGTGAGGTGAGGTATTTCATTGTCCACCAATAGATGGCGCTAGACTGACATGTCGTTAATGTGAAAACGACCAAATGGAAAGGAAACACTTTTATTTTTCAAGGTACCGGTAATTACGAACGTACATGCATTAAAGTTAAAGTATTTGTTCATTACTACAATACATCAAAATAATTTTTCAACGTTTTTTCACAGTATAAAAAACGTATTTATTTATTTATTATTTGGTTGTATTAAATCTGAATTCTCTCATTTGTTCAATTGCTACAATATAGGAAAAGTACAGTATAAAATATTTTTCCAGTATTTTTAAAAGTCGAAAAAATATTTTGTTTAATTATGTTTATTTTATTGCACGAAATTTGAGTTTGTTGAATTACTAAATTTAGGAAAAGTACTATATATATAAACAATTTATTATTAATTTTCTTTTCCGCAGTGACAATGACAAACTTTATTTATTTATTATATTTATGTATTTATATACATGTATTTAGTTTATTGCCTGTATGACATTTTAATCAAACGATTTGTTTAATTACTACAATATAGGAAAAGTACTATATACAAATATTTTTTTAGTTTTTATTTTATTTTATTACCTGTATGAATTTTTAATCCAAAGATTTGTTGAATTACTAAAATATAGGAAAAGTGCAAAATAAAAAAGATTTATTATTGCATCTATATGTTCAAGTTTTTATTATGTTTGGCTTATACACCAGAAGTTGGGACATGCTTATTTAATTTTTATTAATATTATCATTTTTATTTTATTTTAATACATTTGCTGTTATTGTACAATATGGAAAGTGGCACTAGTAAATAGTGAGTGTATGGATGTGTGTTTACATAATCATTAAAGACTCGGAATGATGTCAGTAAATAAAGTTTTATTTGAAACATTCAGTAGCCTCAAATATTCACAAGGCATTTAACAGCGTGTCATTGCACGAGAACAGTTTTCAAAGGCAAAAAGACAATAATATCGAAACGACCTCCGGACAATCCAGAGGCCAATCTGCACATCCAAGTGTGCTACTGCAACTCAACTACGATGTTGAAGTTTTAAATACTCTAGCGCTTCAGGTTCCCAAGAACCAACCAAACACATTCTACTGTCGAAAGTGGAATACAGTCACTTATGAAAATCTATAAGATAGATTCTTCGTATACTCTCTTGAAAATCGACGATACAAAATTACAGTCGATAGCGTACAAATATATAGAGCTCTTTTCGTGTGCTTTATAAAGTGATGTATCAAAATGCAACGCGTGACGCATGCCAGCAGTGTGAAACAACAAGTACACGTTCACATCAAGACATGCAGGACGTTCCAGAAACAACATCTGAGGTTTGAGTGATCAACGTTCTCGAGCGCAGGTAGAAAAACATGGTTTTGTGCGACTTCAACAGCTGAAACTTTGAGGTGCTGTCCACTGGAAGTGCTGAAACACGTCTGGCTTTGCAGACAATGAGTTTTTAAGCTTTCACTCGCATGCCAAGCTCGCTTCAGGCTTTATTATAGACTCTTCCACTTGCGGACCGCAGAGCTGCTCTGGCGCATGAGCCGGCGCGAGCATAAACTTCGGGTAGAACGGAACCAACAGGACGCTCCTCGCGCTCACACGAGTCCGGGGAGGGAAAACGCGCACGTGGCGGCCAGGAGCTCCGTCTTCTGCTGCATCCTCTCGAGTTGCTTGAGATGCACCCGTCCGTGCCGCTTCCTCTCGTCGCTGCGCGCGAAGCGACGCCCGCACACGTCGCAGGAGAACGGCTTCTCGCCGGTGTGCGTGCGCATGTGGGTGGTGAGGTGGTCGCTGCGGCTGAAGCAGCGCAGGCAGACGCGGCACTGGAAGGGCTTGTGGCCGGTGTGGATGCGGACGTGGCGGGTGAGCTCGTCGGAGCGGGAGAAGCGGCGCTCGCAGTTCTCAACCGGGCAGGAAAAGGGCTTCTCGCGGGCCGCGCCCTTCCTGGCGCGCGGTTTAGCGCTCCGCGTGTTGGTGGCGAGCAGCGAGTCCAGGAGCGCGGTCGTGGCGCACGGGTACGAGATGGCCCTGTAGAGGCTGTTTTCATGCGCCGTGACGGGGATCTGGAAGTTGGGCATGAAGTTCAGCGCGCTCGCTTGTTCCAGCGGCTCTTGCTTGATCCACGTGTCCAAAACCGAGTCGGTCTCGGGACCCAATGGAGAGAGCAGGTCAATGATGTCATCCAGGTCTGAAGGCTCGTGAGAAGTGAAGCCTTCGAACAGATCGCCACCATTACAGCTGCTGCTAAACTCGCTCTTGATCGCCGGGCAGAAGTTCACATCCGCGAATTCGTCCGACGAGTCGTTGCACAGCGACTCCGGTGAGCCCAGCGAGCTCCCGGTGGACAACAGCGACTCCTGCCGCGACAGCGCGCTTCCGCGAGAGTTGTCGGAGATGCCGACGATCTCCGCGAGGATGTTGAGAAGCGCGTCTGCGCTGCACGGCCCGGTCTCCGTGTAGAAGCTGCCGGTGTAGGTGAGCGGGGACGGCGGAAAGCCATCGTTGGAGCAATCGGGGAAACCGGCGTCCAGCGGCTCCGCTTTGGGCTTCAACAAACCGCAAGCTGCGAGGAAAGAGGAGAGAGATGCGTTACATAAGCTGTTGACTCACTGCATCAGGACTGAATCCAAACTAAAAGTGCATTTTTAAATTCCATTATATTTTGTGCATTGCATGCAATTTGATCTTTTATCAAGAGATGCGGTGATTTTGCATTAGAAGTTAATGATTCGAACATGTACTGATTTAATATGAATAAGATCAAATCCAGTGCTCACCAGCATCAGGTTGATTCTGAACGGCGGATTGTCCCTCCAGAGGAAGGGTTTGAGCGCAAAGCAGATCCAAAGCGCTGAAGTCCACGGTGTTCAGCATGATGTCGATGGGAAAATGGCGCAAAATCCACAAGGAATTATTTCAGAATGGCAATCCTGCTTTGGGATTCCCTTCTAGTTAGACTTGCTTCAGGTTCTGGTCTCTGTCGATTCGTTTACCGGAATTCCTCATCCCGCTTTTATATCATTCGGCTCCGCCGAGGCTCCGCCCACCGATCATCTACGTCTGCAGGAGGATTCCCCGCCGTGTGCTGTCTCTGGACGGCTCTTGCCCAAATATGGGCAGAGGATGTGACGGGGTTCCCCTCCGAAAATGGGCAAGGGGCGTGACGTAGCGGCGACTTTCCTGAAGACCATTGCGGAAAAATGAGGCGCGTTTGTGAATGACAGGCGGCCATTATGTTCGCAATGGAACAGTGTCAAAGTGAAATAGCCTCGGGTGACTTCTGATGGGTTAAAACGATGAACAGCAACAGCGAGACAATGAATGCACGCTGAAAGCCCGTGCAATGCGGATATACCAGACTTATAACCACAAACGAGCCATGCACAGTGGTTTGCATTTTAGAGATTCAGCTGATTTGAAACAGGAAATATGTCAAATATCAAGCCTCTGTTATGCATCAACACCCATCTGTCGCGTAACCGCTGATCTGCATCAACTTTGCTCCCTGATCTTTTGTAAAGGAAACTGCTTTTAGATCAGTAGCGCATTTGATGCATCAGCCTCCGCCGCCTGCAGCATTCAGAGCATTCAGCACCGCGGACAGCGACACTCCTGCATGCGCACCCCATGCATACAACCTTCATGCATGCATCTAAATGTCATGCTAAATCGACCTGACAATCCAAAGCAGATCCTTTAGTATGCTGGTGCACGTTCATATCGCTAATATGAGTAGAAAGAGTTCGCTTTACATAAACACTGCATGCATGCAAACGATGTGAGATCAGGATCATACGGTAAACGCGTGACTGAGATTAACATCTGCGTCTCGTTTTATCGCGTGTTATGTAACGCTTCATTTCTACAGAGCGGCTAATGAGCCGTAGCGCGCATCTGAACTGCAGCTGCATCTATGATTTTTAAATATGAGTCATAAAGTTTATTTTTGATAATAACACTTAACCAGCATTCAGCACCCATGGAGATTTCATTTATTAGATGATGAGACTCAGGTGGAGTTTGAGATGGACGTTTCATGCGTTTCAATGCAACGCTGCTGTGGAATAAGAAATTCATTAGTTAATTAATTTTGTAAACAAGTGTGGAAAATGCATGCGCTTTTATTTAACAAAAAACAATCTTAATATCGCATGCACTTTTGGTTGCCCAGTAAATGTATTTTTGTTGTTGTTGTTTACAGGTTAAATATCAGGAAGTCTTCTAGATTGTTTGAGCTCTCAGATCCACTATGCTGTAATTGTAAAATAATAATAATAATAATATATTTGAAATGAACCTGTAACTAATTACTTATCATTCATTTAAAATCATCTGACTTTGGTATGCGTATGATATTCAAGCATTATCCTTCTGTATGCATGCACTTTTAAAATTATCAAACAAATCCAAACAGACTCGCAGGTCAAATAATAGAATCATGTGAAAAGTTACTGCATTTATTTGTGTTTTACACTCTTAAAAAAAGTAAGTTCCAATTGTTCCAATTCCCCCGCAATGCCATAGAAGAACCAGATTTGGTTCCCCAAAGAACTTTAGTGAATGGGTGCCGTCAGAATGAGAGTCCAAACAGCTGATAAAAACATCACAATAATCCACAGCACTCCAGTTAACATCTGGAGAAGACAAAAGCTGAGACAAATCCAGCATTAAGACGAGTCTATAATCCATAATACTGCTTCCTCCAGTGAAAAAGTGTTCTGGTGTGAATCAGGAGAGAAATCTGCACAGATTAAGCAGCGTTTAAACAGCTCTAAACACATATATGGCTGGATTTTGATGTGAGAGACAACAGCAGATGCACTTCTTCACTGGAGGAAGAGTTATTATGGATAGCTGATAAAAACATCACAATAATCCACAGCACTCCAGTCCATCAGTTAACATCTGGAGAAGACAAAAGCTGAAACTAATCCAGCACTAAGACGAGTCTATAATCCATAATAACTCTTCCTGCAGTGATAAAGTGTTCTGGTGTGAATCAGGAGAGAAATCTGCACAGATTAAGCAGCGTTTAAACAGCTCTAAACACATATATGGCTGGATTTTGATGTGAGAGACAACAGCAGATGCACTTCTTCACTGGAGGAAGAGTTATTATGGATTATAGACTCGTCTTAATGCTGGATTTGTCTCAGCTTTTGTCTTCTCCAGATGTTCACTGATGGACTGGAGTGCTGTGGATTATTGTGATGTTTTTATCAGCTGTTTGGACTCTCATTCTGACGGCACCCATTCACTGCAGAGACACTGATGCAATGCTACATTTCTCCAAACCTGATGAAGAAACACACTCATCTCGGATGGCCTGAGTTAATTTTCAGCAAATCTGCATTTTTGTGTAACCTAGTCCTTTAAGAGTGTATTCAAGATATAGAGACGGATGCTTGAGGAATTTAAAATGCCATGTTGAAACTGTTAAATAGGGTAAAATAGTCCACTTTTTGAGTCACTTAAGAGTGGTATATATCATTGCATACTGAAGTTTAATGTCATCATCATTGCGTTATCATTGTATAATGAGATCTACAGCTGCTTCCGGAAACCGAGACCAAACATGGTTCCATCTATAAACGCCTGTGACAGCCTGTCGCACGTGATTCATCTGTTTTTTGGCGACATTTCTGTCGTTACAGAGCGCTGAATCGTCGAGGCGTGGGCGTGCTCCGGGGCAGCCCGTTCCCGGCAACAGCAGCTGTCAAACTCGAGGCATTCCCACCAAAAATACTCCCTCGCCCCCGCGAGAGCTGCAGAAGCACAGACACGAGCCGAGCTGGAGGTGTCGGGTCTCATGGCTCAGGAGCGGGAGGCCCTTGTGACTGACAATAATACATGCGCAAACAGCCATGAGCCTTGAACTCCCCGACTTATACAACATGTGATTCACTTAAAGTTTTGTTTCTGTCTATCACTAGACAAGCCTAGAAACTACAGCCTGCTAAACATGCCAACAAAGTGTTAAAATATTCTAGTAATTTGTGACTTTGTGACTGTGAAGTGACATGTGGCCAAGTATGGTGACCCATACTAGGAATTAGTGCTCTGCATTTAACCCATCCTAAGTGCACACACACACCGTGAACACACACCCGGAGCAGTGGGTTAATCATATTAACAATGTGGTTAAACATGCTAAACATAACAGTGGGCTAAATCATGTTAAAACATGTTAACAGTGTGGTAAATGATGCTAACATGTTAAAACATGTTAGCGATGTGCTAAATCATGCTAGAAACATGATATCAGAATGCTAATTATTTTAGAAACATGCTAACAACATGCTAATCATGTTACCAACATGCCAATCATGCTAGCAACATGCTACTGGTGCATTCAAGTCACGTCGGATAGATCGTATTTATGAGTTGAACGCACATGAACGCCACCACAAAGTCGTTATTACGAGTGAGAAACTCTACATTTTCTTTAAGCCCAGAGTTGGCGGCGTGTCGGTGAGAAAACGTGTCGGATGCAATAGACGCATCCAAAGACTAGAAATGCAGCATCTCTATTGATGGTAAATTTGTTGAAATTAATACAATTATACATTTTTTGTAATGTAAAATAAAACTGTTACATATACAAAATATTATATTATTGTATAATTACCAAAGAACATATAATGATTCAGTTTACATCACCTTCATAAATGGAATAAAAACAGAAAAAAGCAAAAACACAATGACGCACGTTCTTTATTCATCATTTTGTAGATGTAAAGTAAAAAAAAAAAACGTTGAATTTTACGGAAAAAAAGTAAAATCGCCATACTGTTCCGAGCAAAGTGACTTGAACGTACCTGACGTCGTTATTACGACTTGTCAACTCGTAAGTACGAACGTCCCAGGAGGACTTGAACACAGCATGTTAATCATGTTAACAACATGCTAACATCATACTAATCATGTGGAAACATGCTAGTCATGTTAAAACCATTCTAATGACATGCTGGAAACATGTTGATTACGTTAACAACATGATAGCGACATACTAACCATGTTAAAAACATGCTAGCAACATGCTAACTACATGCTAATCATGTTAAAAAGATGATAATCATGCTAGAAACATGCTAGCAACATGCCAAACATGCTAACATCATACTAATCATGTGGAAACATGCTAGTCATGTTAAAACCATTCTAATGACATGCTGGAAACATGTTGATTGTGTTAACATGATAGCGACATACTAATCATGTTAAAACGTGCTAGCAACATGCTAACTACATGCTAATCATGTTAAAAATATGATAATCATGCTAGAAACATGCTAGCAACATGCCAAACATGCTAACATCATATTAATCATGTGGAAACATGCTGTCAGCATGCTAGTCATGTTAAAACCATTCTAATGACATGCTGGAAACATTTTGATTATGTTAAAAACATGCTAGCAACATGCTAATCATGTTACAAATATGATAATCATGCTAGAAACATGCTAGCAAAATGCCAAATATGCTAACAACATGTTAATCATGTTAAAAACATGCAACAACTTGTTAAATCATGTTATCAATGTGTTAAATAATGCTAGCAACATTCTATCAACATCTATCTATGAATTCAGTTTGTTTCTTCATCAGGTTTGTAGAAATGTAGCACTGCATCAGTATCTCAGCAATGGATGCGCTGCAGTGAATGGGTGCCGTCAGAATGAGAGTTCTATCAACTACTTCAAACTTTCAGGCTAGGTTTTCTCAAACCTACCTAAAGTTGGTCTTGACAAACTTGATCTAGTTCTGAATTGTTAATCAATAGCGGCTAATGAATCAAAAGTCTCGCACATTAACAGAAAATAGCTAAAAAGGTGCACCTCGTGTTTTATCGTGTTGGTTACTGGTACATTTCAAATTAAAAAAATAATATTTGAATACAAACTATATTGTAAATTAGCATTGTCATTCAATATACATAACGTGTAAAATATACAAGCATTTTTACACCATGTTTTTCCGTAAAAGTAACTTTTTTTTTTAAAACAGTGGTTTCTAAAGTGCTCTGTGTGGTTGCTAGTCTCATGTTCTTATATGAAAAGTATTAGTTTACAGTCTTTAGAAATAGCTTATGTCCCTGTGGGATTTTTCAACCTCTTTTTTCATCCACTGGCTGCAACC